TCAAAACAGGTCATACGTTATTAGGCCGGTCTTCTGAAGTTCCATGACTTTACCCATTGCGGACGCAAGTGGCACTTTGGCATCCTGTGATAGGAAGCGAAGTAGAGATTGTACCTGGGCCGCCGCCATTGTACTCAACTTGTAATCAATATGAAGATTTTGATGCAACTTGAGCGGATGTGAACTTGCAATAGGCAGGATAGAGTGAGGAAAGATGCTTGGCTGAAGGTAGAGTGAACTTACTCATACTTCCTTTTCTAGAAGGGTATTTCCTGCCTTAGGCAACAAACCAGCAGCCTCCCGCTCCCGCTCCGATCAGCTTCCACCCGCAAGTAAGGTAACTCCGCGCTTCATTGTCTCAACTTCCGTGGTCTCGCAACAAGGAACCCTGATGCGACCGCAGCCTCGTCACCATGTCGGACGACTCCAAGTCAAAAGCCTTTCCCGACCTCTCCGCCAAATTATCGGCCATCCCCAAGAAGTCGCTTTTCGAGCGCCAGAAAGCCGAAGCCGAAGCCAAACGAGCCCGAGAGCAAGCCGAAACCGCGGCTGTGTACGAGGACTTTGTCAAGTCATTCGAGGATGACTCGCACGGCGGCCCCGACAGACCCTCTGCCGATGGACGACTGAATCGCTTCCCACACAAGAATCAAGGATTTGCAGGTGGCCCAGGTAGACGGCACTTCACGGGCTCCGGTCCGCGCTTGAGCGGGCCTGGCACGCTGGGACCCCCTCCGCCGTCGCTGTCGCGAAAGCGCAACCACGAAGGCTTCCCGCCAGCGCAGCGGAACCGAGACACCGCGCAGGGGATCCTGGGCTTTGATAATACCGGGCCAGGCCCGTCGGCTGCCGCCTCCGCGTTCCGCGTGTCGGACGATGAGGACGAGGCGACTGCCGATGCGAAGGAGGCGGAGAGGGCGGCGGCCAAACCAACGCTGTACTTGGCCTCGTTGCCTCCTGGGACGTCCCCGTCGGTTATCAAGTCGATAATCCCCTCGCTTCTGACGGTGGATAATGTCAGGATACTGCATTCGACCGTCCAACAGGCCCCGACCGATCGCAAGTCGATCGCTGCCATCGTGACCCTCGCAAACGAATCTGCAGCGTCGGATATCGATAGCACTGTCAGCGCTCTCCAGAACAAGTACCTGGGCTGGGGTTACTATCTGTCGATCTCGAGGCATCTGTCCTCTGCGGCTATTAGTTCCACAATGCCGGTGACTGTCAGTCAGTCCTCGACAAGCCCCCTTCCATTCGGCGCCAAGTCTACCCAGCCCGATATTCCCGGACGCTTGAACCGAGCTCCGCCTCCTGGCATGCACCGTGGTGGCTTTGCACCGCCAACGTCGTATAATCCTGCATTCGGGCGCAGTGGCCCGACGACACAGGTTGAGGTGAAAGCACCGTCAGACCTCAAGCAGCTGCGACTGATACATAAGACGCTGGAGAATTTACTGAGCTATGGTCCGGAGTTTGAGGCCTTGCTTATGAGTAGGCCGGAGGTCCAGAGGGATGAGAAATGGGCCTGGATCTGGAATGCCCGGAGCGCTGGTGGTGTCTACTATCGGTGGAAGCTATGGGAGGTCTTGACCAACAGTCGACCTACCGGTGGTCGACGGGGTCGGTTCCAACCTCAAAACCCGTCACTTATCTTTGAGGGTGGTGCACACTGGGTTCCACCCGAGGCTCATATTAAATTTGAGTACACTACCAACATGGACGAGTTCGTCACGGACGACGATTACGACTCGTCTGACGAGGAGATGTCGGACTATGAAGACGAGAGACGTGTGGCCGGGGGAGCACCGCCAGCGGAAGGACCGGGCGCTGGTAACGAGGGGCTGGGATACATGAACCCTCTTCAAAAGGCCAAATTGACCCACCTACTCGCACGGCTGCCAACCACTCATGCCAAGCTACGAAAAGGAGATGTTGCCCGTGTTACTGCTTTTGCCATTGAACATGCTGGGGCAGGGGCTGAGGAGGTTGTGGAGATGATTGTTGCCAATATCATCAAGCCCTATGCCTTTACGGGGGCCAATCCGGACCGTGAAGCTGAACAAGGACTTGCTCGCAAGGAGCAATTTGGAGAATCAGCCAACGACAACACAGCCGAAGATGGGCGGACGGCCTCGACGAAAACTCTTGACACGTCCTCTGCGAAGTTGGTGGGTCTGTATCTCGTGTCAGACATCCTCTCGTCGTCTGCCACGAGTGGTGTGCGCCATGCCTGGCGATACAGACAGCTTTTCGAGTCAGCACTGAAGACGCAGAAAGCATTCGAGCATCTTGGTAGATTAGAGAAAGACTTCGGCTGGGGTCGATTAAAAGCCGAAAAATGGAAGCGCAGCGTTGGCTCTCTTCTCAACTTATGGGAAGGTTGGTGCGTGTTTCCGCAGTCGAGCCAGGAGCAATTCGTCCAGATCTTCGAGAAGCCCCCCCTCACAGAAGAGGAGCTGCGAGAAGAGAGAGAAAAGGCCGAAGCCGAACGAGTGGCGAGCGCGTTCTCCAAGAACAAAAACCGCTGGAAGGCAGTTGACGAGGATGCAGCTTCTGGAAAGTTCGATCCCAGTCGCGCTGCGGCAGCCGAACTGGATCGCATGGATGTCGACCAGGTCAAGCATGAGTATGCGACGGCGGAGAATCTGGACGAAGTGTCAATGAGCGACATTGATGGCGAGCCAATGGAGGACAGTGACCTGGAGTTATCGGATGGTGAGCCATTGGAGGAAGACCCTCGCGAAGATGAGAGCGAGCTGAACAAACCACCGCCGGGGAAAGTAGCTGAAGCGGCAGCCCAACCGCAACCTCAGCCTCCGGTGCGCAAACCACGGCCTAAAGCAGAGGATATGTTTGCAGACTCGGATTCGGAGTGATTATAGCATTCAAAAAGCAAGCGGGATTACCCTCAGTAAACAATGCTTCAGGAAAGCAGAGCACGAGATGTATGACATGGACATGGACATGGACATGAAAACTGTACAGAGCGATCGATCGAACAATGTATTGAGTAGCACGCACCATTTGAAGCCTGGATCAATGCCTGACAGAAGGTTAAGGCAGCAATCTCCTGAATGGGTAAAGTCGGCTTGCCCCACAACCCCCTCGCGACGGAAAGACTTTCGGTGTTGATATCAACCTCGTCTCTTCCCCTCGTTTCTATCCCATTGTCCTATTGCCCCCTCAGCCAGCTCTCTGTTTTCTATCCGTCTCCGTTGTCTTTGCAGACTCCCAACCGTCAAAATGTGTAAGTGAATTGCTCCTTTTCTGCTATTGAACATGTTTTCTATATTACTCATCCCCCGCCCAATGTTTTGCTGCCCCTCCATGAGGCTCTGTCGGAAGAAACCCCTCCATACCCGGCTTTTAATCTGCCCCTCGAGCTACCAGAAAAGAGACTGATGTGATGCGAACCAATTTCCAGCCGCCTTCAGTGATATTGCCCGTATGTGATAATGATGCTTCGATCTACCCTCGCAGAGCCCAGCTCTGTCGCTCCTCGACACCACCGATGAACTTTCGGTCTAACCGCGGCCCAACAGAGCAATTCGTCCAGTTCTACTACCAGACCTTCGACGCCGACCGCTCCTCGCTGGCCGGACTCTACGTATGTCATGCGCATCTCCCAGCTTAGACGCAAGACGATCGACTAACGCAATGGATCTTTCGTGACACAGCGCGACCACTCCATGCTCACCTTCGAGACCAGCTCGATCCAGGGTGTTTCCAGCATCGTTGAGAAGCTGACCGTGAGTTCCTCCGGCCCTTGTGAAACTCCCTGTAGAAGATAGAAACCCCGTTTGACTAACGCATTGCGATGTGAATTTGTCTCGTCCTGCAGAGCCTCCCCTTCCAGAAGGTTGTCCACAAGGTCAACACCCTCGACGCCCAGCCCTCCAGCCAGGATGGTAGCATTCTGGTCATGGTCACCGGTGCTCTCTTGGTATGACTCCCCCTCCCTTTATCATCTGACTCAATCCATTCAGCTCCCACGAACCCCGCCAGACCTACCAAAAAAAACTGACCAATCTTCACTGCACAGGTCGACGAGGAGCAAAACCCCATGAACTACACCCAGAGCTTCAACCTCATTCCCGATAACGGCAGCTACTATGTCCAGAACGACATCTTCCGTCTGATCTACAACGCATAAATGGTTCCATTATTGTTTTTTTTAGGTATAAAGCGTCGTCGTCGCGCGGTGGAAAGGCAACGTCGGAGGGGGAGGGATCAGGCCTGCGGCTTTGGGGAACGGTCATCTTTTCTCTATCTCTACAACAGGGGAAAGACCTGGTCATAGTCCGCAGATAATCCCGTGTGAAACGAAGATAATGAATCCATTTTCAAATTTCAGGTTTCGAGTTCGAACAGAGTGAGGGGCGGAGGCAGAGCCCACGGATCTTGGGATTGGATGCTTTTGGTTAATTTGGAACACGCCGTGCTTCCTTTTCGCTGTGCGTCTCTTCGGGGAGAAGCTCTTTTCAAATCTCTTGAACTACATCTTAGTTGTTTTGTGTGTGCGCGGTGATACTGCGGTTATAGTTGTGTTCCGGATGGAGGCAAATCTGGTACTTTCTTGGTGGTGTGGTGATGGCCTTTGTATTCCTGCTCTGTTTGTGTACCTCAGTGCCTTATGTTTAAATGGGTGCCTGGGCTTCGAGAAGGTGGTCTAGGATGAGGAGTGAATCTCCACGACTCTTCTTACTAAGTGCCGCCGCGGCAGCGGCGCGCAATGCGCATGCTCCTGGGTCCAAAGTACGAGTACTCGCAGAGACTGAAATTACTCGGCGTATACAGCCAAGCCGATGAATAGGATGAGGGTACAAGAACGAAAGCCCATCAAGCATTGCAGGCAACCCCATCGGATACACCTCAACAGACCAGAATGATTTACAGCCAATTAAACCTTGTGAAATCTACATACACTATATATGCCAGAGATCCTTGGAAAATAACCCGAATAAGACTTCCTGCCCCTCAGAGAGAGAGGATGGAAGCTTTCATCCCCCAAGAAGCGGCGTCTCCTCGGACGGGTGATCCCGGCCCTGGCCTCCTTCTCCGTCTTCTGCTTCCACACCACGGGCCGGTCCCGTTCCACCATTAGCGGGATTCTTATTCGAGGCGTCACCCTCGTCGTCGTGGCCGTGGCCCTTGTCGGGACCCAGATACTCGAACCACACGCCTAGGGCCAGCAGCGTCCCCTGCAGACACGCCGTGACGATCAGCACCCCCCAGGTACTCCATCCGGCCCGCCCCAGCCGCGCCGCCAGGCTCCCCGCCCACACGAGACTGCCGGGCGTCTGGATGCACATCATCGGGATGCTGAGGCTGCCGACGCAGCGGAGGCGCACCGTCGTGTAAATCTGCGGGAAGTACTGGACCGAGGCGAGGAGGGCGGCGAGCACGCCGCAGAAGTTGGACCAGGACTGGAGGGCCTCGGGCCGGCGGAGGCCGACGGCCAGGGTGGTGATGAGCATGACGAGGGCGTGGACGATGCAGATGCCTGCGACCGTGAGGGCGGTGCGGTAGGTTGGGGTGGTCCGGCGGTGGTCGATGCCGTAGTGCTGGTGGCGGGGGAAGAAGAGGACGAAGAGGAAGAGGCTGGTTTGGTTTGGGGTGTCGTGGGTCAGTTTGAATACCCATGCGTTGAGACGAATTAGGGGAGGATGCGTACATTAGGAAAAAGCAGAGACATTGAGTGCCGACTTGGAGGATCCCTAGGAGGGCGGAGAAGCAGCCCAGTCCGCTGATTTGCTTGCAGCACGACATGTCGTGGAGACTCTGTTGTTGGGAGACGACATTGGCGAGGGCGGACGAGCCGGAGGTTGTGCCGAGGAGGACGAAGTAGGGGGAGATTCCGAACGAGGATTTCAACGAGATGATGCGGATGTGTTGGGGGAGGTAGGAGAGGAGAATGCCGAAGACGATTAGACTGGATGGTTTTGGATTAGAATCGTTGATTTTGTTGCTGTTCTCGCTATTCTGATGTTGGTAGGTATGAGGGGAAGAACGTACATGGAGAGGATGAAATTCTTATAGTCGGGCGAATCCAGTTGCCCGCATTGTAGACTGAGAGAATCCATCTTGGTGAACAAAGCCGATTCTAGGATCGTCTGTGTATAGAGGCAGAGGCTGTTGGAATGCAAGATGCTGGACGGGATGATGGGAGTTACAGAGCGATGGGAGGTCTATGGGCCCGGTGCATAGGGGCAGGGAGTGCAGGTCGGGGGGGGGGGCGGCAAGAGACAGGAGAATTATTGGACTCTAAAACAGCATGTGCATGTGTCGAACCAGCGCACACACGTAGTAAACAGAGTGGACAAACGAGGGGATAAAGGATGACTTGTCACTGATCGAGTCTCGAAGGGGTGAGTGACTGAGATGATAACCTTGAATGCTTCAATGCTTCAATGCTTTCCTTATCGTCCATCTCCGCATTCTATCCCAAAACGGTAAGGTCTGTTTGGCTATCCATAAGTAGCTAGTGGAAGATCATGTGCCTTGCAGTACGCTGGTCCACGACTCCATGAAGAACCCGATGAACATCGAGGATCGAAGGGGAAAACCAAAAAAAAAAGAAAGTAACTATATCATTCACAGGTCATTGCTGACCCGGTACGACAAAGAAAGCACTACGAGCCGACAGCGCCCAGACGCCTCTGCCGACCGACCATGGGCCACCCATTCATCGATGACGCCAGCCGTCGACTGATGGACAACTCCAGCAACCACATCACTACGTCACTCGGTGATCATCTCAGCGCCGCCTCCCTGATTCTATCCACAGCGCATTCTTTCTCTCACAACAATAAATTTATCCTCATCCCTGGTCCTTAACTCTTTCAATTCTCTCTCATCAACAACCGTCATCATCAACGACAGTAAGTGGCTCAGCAAAGCTGCAAAACGCTAGAGGCAGCGATAAGCTAATCTTCAATCTCCTCCCGATAAGACTGATACGGCTATAATTTCAACCTTATCACGACTGAGCCATAATGAAGCTTCATTTGGCTTTCTGCCTAGTCTTTGTACTGGCAACAGCTGAGGCTGTCGGTGCATCCAGCTGGTTCAGCAAGGCCGGTATGTTTCAAGTCGAACACATTGAATTTTACCTCACTCGCTAATGCATCTCGACAGTATACAACAAATGGCACGAAACTGAGTTGGAAAGATGGCTTGCTGACCATGGTACGTTGGCACTTTCTGCGTTCTGGTGAGGTCAGTGCTGACGATACTTTCAGACATTCCTTACCCCTCGCCTGCTGATCGTAAAGATCTTGAGAGCTTGGTGAAGACAAACTGGGATGCTAAGGTTCAGAAGCCTCTGGGACATGCTGTGGAACAATCTCCGGACCACTGGCACAATGCTAAGGAATGGCTCTTTGACACGTACGTCAATATCGACAATACTTCCCCGGCCTTGATACTAACAAGCGTCTAGATGGTCGGACTCCCAGCTCAAGGCCTTCCTTGATCGTCATGGCATTCCCGCTCCTCAGCCACGCAAGCGTGACACTCTTCTCAAGGCTGTCCGCGAGAACTACGAAACCATTGCCCAAAAACTTGGCGAGGCCGTGTCTTACCCTGGTAACTGGGTGTATGCTCAGTGGTCTGAGTCTGACTTGAAGGAGTGGCTCGATGAGCGTGGCTGGCCTGTTCCTCAGCCCTCCACTCGCGACAAGCTAATCGCCACCGTTCGCCGTAACGCCCGACTGGCTGGACTGCAGGCTAAGGCCATTGCTGCTTCCGCCTCTGCTTCTGCCGACAAGGCCCAGGCTACTCTAAGTGAAGCTTTGTTCAGCGCCTGGTCCGACTCCGACTTGAAGAAGTTCCTTGATGAGCACGGTGTGAAGGTCCCTCAGGGCTCCAAGCGCAACGAGCTTGTAGCTCTGGCGAGGAAGCACCGTGCCTCTCTGGTCAGCCAGGCTTCGACTGCTGCTGCTACCGCTTCTGCAAGCCTCTCCTCCACTGCTAGTGAATTTATCGGCGCCGCCACCACCAAGGCCGGCAACGAGTACGCCCGCGCCACTGACACTGCTCAGTACAAGGGCCAGGAGGCCTTCGACTCTCTTATTGAGTCTTGGTCTGATTCTCGTCTCAAGGCATACCTTGACGCCCGCGGTGTTCCCGTGCCTCAGAACGGCAAGCGCGATGAGCTTCAGGCACAGGTCCGGCTGAACGCCCACAAGGCTGCTACTGGCTGGAGTGCCTGGACTTTCGACACCTGGGACACTGAGCACCTGAAGAAGTATCTCGCTTCCATGAACTCGAAGGCTGCCCACCAGGCCGACATTACCCGTGAGGAGCTCGTCAAGCAAGCCCAGGACACTTATGCCCAGGCCTCTAAGGCTGGCGGTGACCAGCTGGCTTCCGCTACCTCTTACATGGCTCAGGCTACCGACGTCGCCAAGGACTCTGCCTTTGACTCTTGGTCTCACTCCGATCTCAAGGCATACCTTGACTCGTATGGTATTCCCGTCTACCAGGGCTCCAGCATCAACGAGCTCAAGGCCGCGGCCCGCCGCAACGCTGAGTACTTCAGACACGGAACCTCCACTCCTCAGGGTACCATCCTCGCCAAAGTCCAGGATAAGCTTTCGGACCTTTCCCAGTGGGTTTGGGAGCAGGTCAAGGTTGGAGCCGCAAGCGGCAGGGCCCACGGTCAGGAGGCTGCTGAGAAGGCTTCTGAGGTTGCGAAGGAACAAGCTAAGACGCAGGGCTTCAAGGCCGCGGACAAGGTGAAGACCAAGGGAGCTGAGGCTTCCGCGAGCCTGCGCAAGGAGTTGTAAAGTGTGATTTTCTGCAATGTGAGGGTGGATTACAAAGAACCGGGTATGGTGGTGCTGGTGGGACATGATTTTATGACTTAACGTAATAGTTATTGGTTGGCAAATTAGTCTCGAAATTTACTTTATCTCCTCTTCATAACACTTCTGCTTCTGTGCCGATAGAGTAATGTCATTTTTAAGGTTTACCGGAATGACTTATGTAGACAAATTGAACAACCATAATATCATAATTCATCCGACCTACAACCTGTCTGTCAGTACCTTTCAAAACACCCTCAATCCACGCCATCCTTTCATTCCAACCTTAAACAAGCCAACCCTACATTCTGGTTTGGCAGCCTTCTGTTCATCACCACCGCCCTATCTATAATCTTCATCCCCCTCACCCATCCCATCCTTACTTCATACACCCCCTGAAACTTCTCAAAAGTCTCACTCAACTTAAGCACCCTCCTCCCCCTCAGCCACCAACTTCCCGACAACCAAGTACTTCTCCGAGAACCGCTCCTCCCACGACTGCAGATTCTCCAACTGGTCCGCATCCAGGTCCTCCAACGTATCCAACGGACCCTTCAGATCCTTGGTCAACATCTCCTCATCGAAACTCTGGCACGCCAGACCGCGGGACGCGTCCCGACCGGCGAAGTTCTCGTAGGGTCCGCCCTGTTTTGCCATCTCACGGGTTAGCCTTGTCATACGGCGGGGGGAAGGGGAGGTGAAGAGTGAAGCGCGACCGATCGGAATTGGAGAAGCTTACCGGTCCATAGAAGTTGCGGCCGGGGGTGACGTCGAAGACGCGGCCGCGCACGGCGAGGTAGACGGGCTGATCGGCGGTGCCGTTGTATGGCAGGAGCGTGGTCGGGGTGAAGGTGCGGAAGACGACGGGTGGGGGCGCTTTGGGGAGGGCGACGGGGGCCTTGGGACGGAGTTGCACGTAGACCAGGATGATGAAGAGGGTGAGAAGGATGAGGTTGATGGGGGAGGCGATTGTCATTCTGTTTTTATGGATTAGTGGGTGTTGTGGGGGATGGGTGCAGTGGCTGTCAGCTTGGGAGATGTTGAGGTTTACTGACACTTCGGCCGGTGGGGTTGTTGTTGCTCCGTCTGTTGGTGGTTTGTGTTAGTGATGTTTGGGTGGGGGGATGTTTAGAGGAAGCATTACCCGGGCTGGACATTTTGGGATGTGGCTCTTGTGCTGGTTGATGGACACACGGATGAGGTTGTGGTTGTTTGGAGGATGAATGGGATGATTGATGATGGATGATGGGAGTCGCCCCGGCCGGTGTATGACGGCAATTGAGGGCAGAAGGGACCTCGGAGCCACACAACACCACAGCTTAGTGTGCGGAGAACGGAGCCAGAAAAACGGACGGCTATTTGTGGAGGTCAAGGCGGTAAGCGCGGAAGCGCGATTCGGTTCCGTTGGATCGCGCTACTTTGGCTGATTCAGGCTCGATCGTGCAGCAACAAAAGATTCATGATCGTCTACGGAGTACAGTACTTCCTGGGTTCGATTATTCCCTACTGTCACGCTGATGGCTCGGTAAATGGACCCCGGTTATCGTGCTGCACGAGACCGTGGCTGATCAATCTGCACCTTTCTGCAGAGGCTTCAATTATTGCAGCGATCCGCATTCCTGAGATTGCAACGGAGTTCGGAATGCGCTCGAGTCTCGATCCCCCCAGGCTTTCGGAGCTCCTATAATTAAACCAATTCATTCTGAAACAGTCACCCTCGCCCGCTTTGCCAATTTCCTTCGCTGCTGTCAGTCCACTAGCTCGTCATTTATTCTTAGACTAGCTCCATCCGGGCTCTCTAACGGTCGACCTACTTTCCAGACAAGCCCGGCCTGGTTGGCATCGCAATTCGAGAGGGGCGCACTCAGTCAGTGCACTACCTCCGCAGCTCCAGAAGACGCGGTTTTGGTCTGTCTGTGTGTTGCTCCGGCCGTTCGTCCTTCTCTTCTCTTCCCTTTCGATCTTTCACCCGCTTCTCATTCATTTCAGTCCCTCTTTCTTGTAATTTCTTTGATTAATTCTAGTGCCTGGTCGCCCGCCGCATATTTGTCGAGATTGGATCATCTATCTATCAATCTCTCTTTATCTTCCTTTGTCTTCTCCTTCAATTGTGGTGGACTGATCCTTTCTTGAATGACGTGCCGGCACGTCTGTCCCTTCGCATAATAGGCCTGAACTTAGCTACCTGAATCTTGGTCACATTGCTTATTCCATCTGACTAAACTGTCCTACTCTTCTTGACTTATCTCCCTTTCTCAATCTTCATACTCCTCCCTGTTGAAATCTGCTCCAACCGGTCATTGGCGCAAAGTGGTCTTATCGAACATCACGCCCAAGCTTTTAGTCTCGCAACATTGACACTTGACCATCAAACTAGCTGATTCACGAGCTATAGCATCCGCTCAGAGGGTCTATTGTCAAGATGTGGGGGAAAATGCACTTTCATCGATCGCGAAAGCCGGTTATTGGAAATCCCACCTTGATCGACAAAACTCTAGACGATAGTGTCTATCAGTCCTGGTCTCGCGGCCCAGGCACTCAGAGCACCGACAACCGTTCCCTGACTTCTCGAGGGTGAGTTGAAGTAGTCAAGTTGTGACTGCATCTTCCTGCAAAGTATACTTGACTTGCTAACCCGTTCTAGCAACCAAGCGGACTCACTCAATCCCACGCATCACCCGTACTCAGGTCGCAGGGTTGCATCATCATCCAAGGCCCCAAGCATCGCTCCGAGCATCGCATCCGATGATCTCTTTGACCACCGCTCGGTCAGTTTGACAGATCTTCCCCTGCAGACAGGTATCCTCGGTCACGATCTCGGTCGGCCTGAAAGTGTTGAGATCTCCCCTCCCGACTCACCCGTCTCCTTAAGTCGGCCACCACTTAGTCGCGGCAGCTCCCGCGTCTCCCCCATAGAGGACGAATCCAGGCCGGACCTTGATATCGACCCGATGGAGAAGAAGGAAAACACCAGGTTCACCAGTCAGCTGCCGGTGCGCAAGACCGGTTACTCCCCCGTGGATCAGTCTCAGCCAGCAAATCCGTCCTCGCGAGGATACGCAAGTAGGCAGGACAACTTTTCGAGGGGCTCGACGTCAAGCCATTCTGGCATGTTTGGGCAGCAAGCCTCCGGCACTGCTTCGGTCCGCACCGACATGTCAGCCACACCTCCGTCATCTCACGGGTCGAATAGTCTTGGATGGAACACGCAAAGTGCCCGCAAACCTCCCTCAGAGCCACGCATTCGCGAGCCATGGAAGGGACCCAGTGGACGATCACCAATAGTGCAGCCTATCCAGGAACGACCCAGAGCGAACACGATCCGCAGCTATGATCAAATGAGAGCACGCAACGGCTCAGCAGCCTCTGACCTCGCGGCGTGTGGAATGGTTCCTACCGTAGTGACAACAATCACAGCCGGTGAACTTCGGCCCACAGACAGACACCATGGCACTACCCGGAACAATCCCCGTGCTAGGACACCCGAGGCATTCACCCCGACCGTCCGCAGCAGCAACCGCGTCCCACCTCGGGTCGAGCTTCCAGCGCCGGAAACAGACTGGGAATCCTCGTTAATGGATCTTAAGTTGACTACTCACGAGATGGCTGAAGAACCCACAAGCCGCTTCAGCGCAACCACTTACGACCCTACCGAAATAGGCAGCTCAATAGGCAGCAGGCGCAACAGCATCGATACTGTCGCTGACACTGCATCTGTGTCCACGGAGTGTCAGCCCTCCATCATGTCTCGTAGCCGACCCGTGCCGAGCACAGTGGCTCCCGGGAAGAAGCCGACCAGAAAGCCCACGCCATCCCAGGCCGCTGTGGAGGCGGAGGCGGTCAAAGAACCCACAGCTATCACTCCTCAGCAACAGAATCAAAACCGGATTGATGCGCTTGAATCCCGCAAAGAGACCCTTACGCGTCGCAAGGCCAATATCAACACGATCATCTACGAGTTGACTCAAGTTATCCAGCCGAGTTCCGTCGCCTATGACATAGCCGCTAGGGATGAGGTGAAGAAAACGGTCGCCAGTCTCGAAAGTGAACTTGCAGAAATCAAGCGAGAGGAGCATGAGATTGGCGTGAAACTACTGAAGGCTTGGAAGAAACGTGATGAGCTCGATTGCTATGGGGGCGGCTCCGGCCTTTGGGTCAGCCGAGTGACCAGCTGAAGGTCGATCAAAACATTCGTTTTCATTGCATCCCAATCCGCTCATGAGAGCGCGTTGGGCATTGGTGTTTCTGCCCCCTTTTTTTTTAATATACTTTCTTTACGATCATGTGGGTTGGGCGAGGTTTGTTGGTTGCATTATGCCTTTCAGCGTTGCGTTTACCATTCGGCAGCATACAGCGGGTTTCACTTCTACTTCTTTTGTTCTAGCAAAGCATGGTAGACAGTCTTTCTTTGATCTGTGCAGTGCGCGATGATACCCTGTTTGCTTGTTGAGAGACGCGAATCTCAAGTCTGGGACCAGGTTCCGTGCAGATGGTTCCAAGCGTTTAAGGAACTGAGTCACGCTTTTGAGGTATTTATTGAATAGATTATCAGTGGATGAAGTGTGCGCTCAGCGTTGTAAATGCATCAAGTAAAGTTGCTCGAAGAGAATAGCGCTCAATGCCAAGCGACTCCACCACCTTGCGCTCGTGGGTCATGGCTCGTGGTATATCATGAATGACTGATCTCAATGCTCCCAAAGGTGGCTTATTTCTTGCCCGACTTCTTGATGCCCTGGGCACCGGTGTTCAGGGGACCCTTGCCCTTGGCCTTCTCCATCAGATCCTTCTTAGCCTTGGCATCTGAATAGAGACAATGCAGTTAGTGAGATGTTCGCGACCATGATCAAGTCACCGCTGGTGTTGAAAGACAGCAATAGGTAAACATACCAGCTCTCTGCTTCTCCTTGAAGGCGAGGTCATCGTCATCGAGATCCTTCTGAGCCTTCTTGGCCTGCTTGAGGGGCTTGACCTTGCCACCTAGACAAAAGAAAAAGTCGAGTTAGAGGGCGGATAGGCAACACTCAAGACACCTTGATAAGCGCATACCTTCTCTGCTTTGACCACCCATTGTGCGATATTGGTTTTGAAAAGGTTTGGTGAAAGGAAGGTTAGATGAAGGCAAGGATGCGTAGTCGCGCAAAGAGGAGAAGGAGGGGAAATGGAGGCGCAAAAAATCGTGTCTTATCAGCGATTGTCCCGCGGGGAGCCGCTAGTCTAGAACCGGGTTAGGCGCCGAAATCTCTCCCTCTCCATCGGTCACCGCCTGGCACCAGCTCATCCCCATCTCAACAACCTGCTTTATCCCCCCCCCCCATTTGCCTCGTTCCTGTTACTACCGCGTGCGATCTCATCGACCCAGCTACCTCTTCGACAATCCAGCCATCCCCGCGTGAATATCTTGAACTGGAGACAGTAGCAAACATTCTTACTAGTATCTTTTACATATTTTCCTAAAACAAAAGGCAAAAAAAAACCCTCCACACTTGTCTCAGGCTTGCTCAAAGTTGGCAAGGGCCGTGGCATCCTCAGCCGGTTGGACTTTCTCAATATATCCTCCTACCTTGACGCGTCATCCAAACCATTCTTGGCTAACCGGAAGTTCTTCTTCTCTCTTCTCTGAAGCTGCGCGAAAAGGCCGATCTGTCTATCTAGGCACACTCCGTTGAGAGAAGAAGATATATCTCTCGGCAGACGGACGCAAAATGGCATCACGCAGGTCGAGGTCTCCATCGACCCCTTCTGAGGGTGAGATCATCGAATCAGGTTCAGAGACGAAGGCAACTACGTCGCAACTTCCTCTTAATGGCAACCGCGTTGACCGTCCCCCCAGAGCTAGTTCACCCGCCCCCAGATCTCCAGCATCGTTGAGCAGATCGCCCCGCCACCGGAGGTCGAGGACCAGGACCAGATCGCCCTCCCGCACCCGGTCCCGCTCCCCGTACCGCGACCCCAGAGGCTACAAGCGTCGCCGGGACGATGACTATGATCGTGACTATGACTATGACGACCGACGATCCCGATACGAACCCTCCCGCCGCGTCGGGTCCCGATACGATGATAGCCGTTACGCGGGCCGCGGCGGTCAATCCCACCGACGACCCCGGCCCTACTACGACTACGATCGGGAAGAGAATTTCGGCGAGGGGCTGCGATACAGCGACGAGTCGGATCGGCGCAGGGAGAAGCGCGCCCGCACCCGCAGCCGGTCGCCGTTCCGCGAAGTGCGGAAACCAAAGCAATACTCCGGGGATGAGTGGGAGTCCCAGCGCGGTGATAGCGTCGCGTCTCGCGACCGTAGAAGGAAGGCTTCTATTGAACAGTCAGTGAGCGAGCGGGGGAAAGCTCCAGTCGTCGCTCGGGATTTAAAATCACATGCTGAAACTCAGAAACCTCAGGTGCAGCAAGCTTCTGAAACCCCTAGTGT